TATATATATATATATATATTAATGATTTACACTACAGATCAGGTGCAGAGTTGAAATTTTGCATACAGGTAGAAAAGTGTATTAAATAAACAGGAAAAATCTAAAAGGATGAAAAACTTGCATCAAAAACAGAATACTGAATTAAAATAAAATTTAAAATATATTAACACACATACAGACAATATTTACACATGATAAGGCATTTTGATTTATTATATTGATTTTTATACTATGCAAATTGTGGTGCAGCTTTACAATTATCTGACACATTATTTTGTTTATTTAGGAATGCTTTTGGAAAGATGATTTCAGAATGCTGGAGTTTTATGGTTGTCATGATAACAGCAGTATACCTCTTACTCCACGGTCTTTTTGTCAAGCAATCAAATATTTGGTCTATTGCAGGTAAAAGAAAAGGAATAATTACAGATAAAAGACATTTGATTTCATATTAAATTATTTTGGTCTAAATTCTGTTGGTCACTATTTAATTTCTAATTTTTAAAAAAGGGAGGTACACACTGTTTCTGATGTGGGTAGAGTTTATAAATACACCAAACTAAAATTCAAATTTTTATATCCCATACAAATTGATAATTATGTGTGTATTTAATTCTTCACAACAAGAAAAAACCTAGCCTCATGTCTATAAATTTAATCTTTACAAAATGAACCCTTAGCTAGTTTATGCATGTAACAATATCAACTGTCAGTAATTTTTGTTGTGAAATAAATATATATTATTGCAGGTATTTTATCCTTGGAAAGTTTACTTTTATGGTTTACTTCAAAGAAAAGCTCTTTCCTTACAAACCTCAATTATAACTATAGGTATGATTTTAACATTTCTTTTTCCTCCTGTATTTGAATTAATTTTGCACACATTGAGACTATGGAAATATTAAAGGAAAATTTATATTCTGTAAATTTTTGTGTACGGAATATAAATTTTTGTGTGATTGTTTATGTAAATTTTTAAAGAATATTTGTTTTCTCACTTTGATGCACCTGTAATGATGCATTGACCATTATAAGTTTATTAATTGTAGCATAGGATAAACAAATACAGGAGGACATTTACTATAATAAGTATTGAAGAAGTTAAGTACATTACTTTTTAAAATATATTTCGTTAACATTTTCATTGCAGTTTTATTACACAAAAGTAAACAAATTGATTTAGTTATTT